GTGGCTGAATGAGTGCTGTACAGTTTAAAGAATGAAACATTGATCATGACTAGGAGCATTATATAAGCCATTTATTTTGTTGTAACCTAAAACAAATAATTTAACAAAAAAATAATCTAAACCACCTATGGGTTACCTTATCAAGTGCTTCATTCAAGAGACCTAATACTGCATCGTTTGTAACAGGATGAATGGCAGTAATCTTGGTATCATTATAGGACTTGCATTCTGCCCATACCATCTCTATGAGATTGTACCAACAATGGCATGGCGGAACTGGCGGAAGTCCACGCTGCAGGGCTAATTGCGTCCAGTCTGTGAAATTAATGCAACCGCAGAATAGTGTTATAGTTTCTAATCAACCACATCGCAGGTTAATTTGCCCTTTTTAATGTTTTAGTACCTTGATAGGACTTCTCTGTTTTAAGAGTATCTAGATATTCCGATAGAAATGCTCCAGCATTTGCAGTATTTTTTTATGTTGAATTAAATCTGCTGCAACATGAATATGCTTGCAAATAGTATATTAGAAAATTTGGTCTAGTGCTACTGTAAAGATACGTATGTTACACTGTGAACGTATTAGGTTGCACCAATTTTCAACTTCATTTTTAGAAACTATATAATTACTGTCTAACTCTGAACAGCAGATGCTTCATTCTTACACTAATCATTTGCGCTCTTTGTTAATAATTCATGAAATTCTTCTTTAGAGTTTGTTGTCTGTAATATTTTTAGTCGCTGATAGACTAAAGTTTTGTAAATAAATAAATAAATAAATAAATAAATAAATAAATGCCTTTATTGTCAAAAAATTTTTCAATTTGTGGACAAAGGTAAACTAACAAACAAAGTAAAAAAAAAACAAGGTACACAAACAAACAAACAAAAGATAATACAAAACATTATACAAATAATATTGTCAGTCTTATTAAAATAAACATATATAAATGTTTACAATGTCAAAGAACAAAAAAAATTAAAATAATATTCAAAAATATTTAGCCAGTTTATAGCAAAATATCAATGACCTCTAAATAAATTAATTTCGATGTCATTAGTAAATATAGCAATAGCAAACATTAAACCAGTGGTTTCAAGATCAAATTCGATTTTCAATTCAAATATAATTCATTTACGGCGTATTATTATTGTGTTCTTGTGTATTTAATTTATTTAAATTATATCACCACCTACAATCTACATGCCATGCAGAATATAGTTGTGATAACGCTTTACTCATTTCACGTTGGAAACATAAAATTTTATTAGACATGAGTAATATCTGACATAAAAACCTTTGGTTTTAAAATGCCAATATTATCTCTAATCTAACAGCATTTGAAACACTTATTTAATATTCGGTAGATACTTTATTCTCCCTGAGTTAAATAATTGTCCTCGTTTGAATCGGAATCATTTATGTCGATAATTATAGTTAGAAGATTTGAGGCACTAATCAGTCTATCCCTTTTGTGCGGTGCTGGTTCGAGGCGGTCGGCTAAAAGTACCATTTTTTTGCCGCTTGCGAATATACCAATTCATCAAGAGCAGTGGTCCTATTCACCACATTCATAAACTTTTTTTAATCTTAAAAAAAATAAACAGCTTTTTCTAAATGTTAGTTTATTTAAAACTCAAATACAGGTTCAGAAACTAAAAAAAAAATACGACAAAAACAAATATGGTAACATAAAAAAATACATTTTGAATGCATAACATGTTCTAAAAGTGTTTTTTTGTGTGGTATATTTCAAAACAGGAAACTACAAAAAGTGGTACATTACAAGTTGGACACATATATCTTGATTCGCGTCTTCTCTTATTTTTTGTGCAAACTACCAGCGTTTTGTAGTGGATCTCTTTTGAGCAGTGGATGGAATAAAATTTAAAAGTGCCTTTCAGTTAGACGTAGTTGAATACTCTCGTCCAAAACTCTTCGACCTACCGCTCGAGTAGAAACTGGTGTGTGATATTTCGCGATGATTTCTTTTATCAGCTTTATATGAAAATATATAATATTATTTTCTAGAGTAATATTAAAATAACTAGTTAAATATAATATAGGTAACAAACATATCTATGTAACAAGAGAAACAGACAAGAAAAACACATGTGCTAAATTATAAATCCAGTCTCCAAATTTCCCAATAGATGGCATTAAAGCACTATTCTGATACGAAGTACTAGAAAGTGATAGAGTCTGATGACACATTTTTTATTTATAGGATTGTAATTGTAGGATTATTTAAAAACGATGCGTGTTGTTATTGCTGTATTATTATTTCCAATAATATGAGTATTTGCACAGACACCAGATCATTTTTGCTAGGCCAACCATGCTCCAAACCAAACCAAACTTCCTGATTTTCCCTAGCAGCATCATGTAAAGCAGGTAAAATATGATTTTCTAGTAGTTCCAAATAATATTCTGCATTTAAATTTCGCCTTAGAAATAATGGCCCGATAATATTGTGTCCGAATATCCCTGCCCAAACATTTACTTTCTGTGGATATTGCGTCCTTGTTTCGACAAACCTGTGTTGGTTTTCTTTGTTCCAATATCGATAATTTTGAACATTGATTCATTATTTAAGGCAAACGTGCATTCGTCAGTGAAACATATGTTTTTAAAAATTCCCTATCCGTGTTTGCTCTTTCCATATCAAAACAAAACGCCTGCCGCCGTATTTCGTCCCCATCTCGTAGCTGTTGGTGCTTGTCATATTTGAAGGAATAGTATTTATGTCGTTTCAAAATTCGAAACGCTGTAGTGTGATCTATTCCTATTTCATCCTCAAGTTTCCTTGTGCTGATCTTTCCATCGTTCTCTTCCACGCACTATAAAACTTCCAAGTCGGTATCATTTCTTGCATCTTCTCTTTGTTCCTGCCTTGCTTCACATCTGCAGTTATTTATTAGGGTACCTTTGGTCTCAAATCTCTGGATATTCCTTGCGATTGTAGATTTTCCAGGTATCGGTCTATTCGGATACAGAGCAGCAAACATCCGACACCTTTTGATAACTATTTCCTTGATAATACCATTTAATCATCAATACTTTTTCTTCGGTAGGGTAATTCATGGCTAATATTTTCGATGTAGGCATGATGTAGGTATGATTTTTTAATAATAATAATAAAGCACTAAATAGATAAATTTCTGAAATGACAATTTCATTTGACAGTTATCTTTTACCTTGACTGGTGCTCATAAGTAAATATAGGGCCATAAGAAAGGAGAAATATTTACAAAGAAATCGGCGATAACTCGTAAACGGGCTAATCAAAAATATCTAAAGTTATTCTTTTGAATGTGGGTTTTAGTGTTCTTCAATAAACCTAAATAGAATTATTCTCTAAAATAATTAGGGAAGCCAATAATTGACCCCATTAAAATTTACATGGGATTTCCTATGTCCCGCTCGACGATGCAAAACAAATATTATATATGGTTACATATTTCTGCTATACTTTATATGTATATTTAAAAAAGTGAAGCTAAAAGAAATTAAATTAATTCACACTTCAACAATAATCGTGGTCTATAGCTTGATCATTAGAAATAAATTCACATTTTCCACGAATAAAATTGGCTTGGAAATTTTGGTCTTTTTCGATGTACGCTTTTTCTTTACGGAAAAGAACCTAAGTTGTTTTTCAATTTTCTTATTAGCTGGTTCTGCTTCAGATTTAGGTAGCTTGGTAAAATATATATTATTTGAAGTAGTGACCTCAATAAAACTATTTTCTTTTTTCAAGCAACTTGCAACATGTTTTAAGAGAGTTCTGTTTGGATTTTTTAACAGGTTATTCTGTAGTTTTAAGGTTTCAGAGGATATTATTTGCATTAATGTATCATTGCTTTAATAGGACTTCTCCCCTTTAAGAGTATTTATATATTCTGTTAGAGATGCTCCAGGATTTTCATTACTTTTATGTTGAAGCAAATTACTTTTTTTTTTAATTATTACCACATGAATATGCTTGCAAATAGTATGTTGTGTTAGAAAATCTGGGCAAGTGCAACTATAGGAATGAGTACATATGTCACACTGTGAGCATATTAGGCTGCAACAATTTTCAACTTCATTTTTACAAACTATATAATTACTGTGTAATTCTGAACAACTAGATACAGACCATTTATAGGTAGCACTATCATTTTCATCTATATCTCTAAATTCGCAATTACTTTTTACTGCAATATCATGTCTTGATTTAACTGTTCTTAAATGGATTGAATTTTTGCCTTTAATTTTCTTGATTACTCTTTCGAGTGCTTTATCTCTAATAAACAAATTTAAAGCATTTAAACATTTATCTAATCTTTTTACCTTTTTGCCGTCTAAATATATATGTTTTAATACTTTGTGCATATTTTCTAAACGCATATTAGTATTAATTCCACAATTTAAGCGATAGCAATATACCCATTACATATAATTTGATAAATAATTTCCTGCAAAATATTGTCCAAAATTAACAGTTGCTTCATTCTCACCTCAATCATTTACACTCTTTGTTAATAATTCATGAAATTCTTCTTTAGAGTTTGTTGTCTGTAATACTTTTAATGACTGATAGACTAAAGTTTTAAGTTCTAGTGAATTTACTTTACTTAAATTAGAACGCCACGCACGATCTACGTGCCATGCACAATATATTTGTGATGGTACTTCACCCATTTCTTGTTTCCATGCATTATAAAAGATATGTGTAATATCAGACAATTAAAACCTTTGGTTTTAAAATACCAATATTATCTCTAATATTTTTAAACAGCAATTAAATAACTAATGTATCTTTACACCCCACTCATCCACCACTAAAAGTGTTGTTAGTTCAAAATCGTAAGCATTCATTCCATGTGTACTGTCTATTGCAACTATGTTTTCCGCAAACACTTTCAATATGTCTTGCTGCACTGTGTTCATTATAATGATACAAAAACCCTCCTTTTTTAAAACACCTTCATTTTCAACTCCCTGTGGTTTAGAAAATATTATAGGATTGCTTTCCAGGTTCGAACATTCCTGAACAAACATATCTACACTAACAGCATCTAATAATAAATATGATTAGGTATTTTTATATAGGTAGGCTTTGGAAAATATATACAAACCTTCTGTATGTCTTACACCCTCATATATTTCAATATTGAATGTGATATAAATATAAATATGAATGAAATAAACATTTACGGAGTTAAATACTAAACACTATTTAATTAAAATAAGTACTAAAAAATGGACAAGTTTTCTCTGCAGCAAATGCGAAGAAAACTTAGCAGAAAAATTTTATAGTTTTAGTTTTCAAGGCAATAATATAGTCTATGAAGCCTTTACTGGCAAGTCAAAATAACTAAAAAGTCAATTTTTTGTTACCAGTTCCTAGTTCCAATTGTTTTTCTGGCAACACTTTTCACAACACGTCACTCACAATACCGATGAACACTCAGATGACAGTTACTAACTAAACAAGTAGGTACTTATACTTAATGTTGCTAACTAAATAAGGGAGAGAGCACAAATATTTCTCTGTATGCGGAGACAATGCGATAGAGTGAAAGAGAAGAGAGAGAGAGAGAGAGAGAGAGCCGCGTCTCTAGCGCGAGCTTAATTATCCAAAAATTAGCGCTTGGCAACTTAGGCCGATGTTCAGAGAGGACTGTATTTTTGTCGCCCTTAAGCCCATCGAAAGTTGAACCAAAAAAGGGCTTTTTTTACGACCCGACAATTTTTGTAGTTGTGTGAAACAGATGGCCCCAAATAGAAAGTTCTAAAACGTGCGGTTCAAATCAATTTTGAACATAGTCCCCCCCTTTGAAGTCTTTGACTTTAAAACAAAAAAAACTAAACGTAAGCTTAAACTAGTAACTCATAATTCGAAGTAAATCAAAAGGGTGCTGGTAGAGGACTTAATTAGGTTATGTTCTTATTGAAGACTCCATCTTTGGTCTGTAATTTTACCAGTCTAATATTCCATCTTTTCCGGGAAATGTCTCCACCACTCTAAAGGCCACTCATAAACGCGTGTATTATCTTCTTTTAATAAGACTACATCGTTTACTACGATATTAGGGGTCACAGATAACCATTTTGGTTTATTTTGAAGTTGGTTTAGATATTCTTTAGTCCACCTATTCCAAAATAATTGTTGTACTCGGGTGACCCTTTTTTTCCCCATTACAAGGGGCCGTCCTCTGCCGGAAACACTGCGACCCTTTGCCACCGATCTAACCTGTTGGTGTGAATATCTGAGACATCTTTTTCCGAAAATGACGTTAAAGGAGCTCCTATCAGGAATTTTTGGGCTGGGAATGGTATACATGCTCTAAATGAGCCTGGCCGTACCTCATTTCTAAATGTCGTACCAATTGCTGATAATCTCTCAGTTCCGATGGTGAGAGTGTCTGCAGGATGTCAGTCGCAACTCCTCGCAGTGCGATAGTCAAAGCGGTAGCTTTTTCAGCGATTGTCCAGCCGTTCGCTCTCGCAGCGGCTTCAAATTGGCAAAAATAGTTGGCCCAAGCGGTTTTTCTGTCAAACTGTGGAGGCTTCATAATTGACTTTAAGGCATACTTATTTTCCACTAGTTTCGGGTCCTCCGATGATTCTTGACATTTTGGTGAATTTGCTTTTGCTATTTCTTCTCTTAAAAAATTTCGATTTTCCATCTTTGGTCTGTAATTTTACCAGTCTAATATTTCCATCTTTTCCCGGAAATGTCTCCACCACTCTAGCTAAAGGCCACTCATAAACGCGTGTATTATCTTCTTTTAATAAGTCTACATCGTTTACTTTGATATTAGGGGTCACAGATAACCATTTTGGTTTATTTTGAAGCTGGTTTAGATTTTCTTTAGTCTACCTATTCCAAAATAATTGTTGTATTCGGGTGACCCTTTGCCACCGATCTAACCTGTTGGTGTGAATATATGAGAATTTTTTTTCCGGAAATGACGTTAAAGGAGCTCTTATCAGGAATTTTTGAGCTGGGAATGGTAGACATGCTCTAAATGAGCCTGGCCGTACCTCATTTCTAAATGTCGTACCAATTTCTGATAATCTCCCTGTGCCGATGGTGAGAGTGTCTGCAGGATGTCAGTCGTATCTCCTCGCAGTGCGATAGTCAAAGCGGTAGCTTTTTCAGCGATTGTCCAGCCGTTCGCTCTCGCAGCGCCTTCAGATTGGCAAAAATAGTTGGCCCAAGCCGTTTTTCTGTCAAACTGTGGAGGCTTCATAATTGACTTTGAGGCATACTTATTTTCCACTAGTTTCGGGTCCTCCGATGATTCTTGACATTTTGGTGAATTTGCTTTTGCTATTTCTTCGCTTAAAAAATTTCGATTCTCCATCTTTGGTCTGTAATTTTACCAGTCTAATATTTCCATCTTTTCCCGAAATGTCTCCACCACTCTAGCTAAAAGCCACTCATAAACGCGTGTATTATCTAGTATCTAGTAGACTACATCGTTTACTTTGATATTAGGGGTCACAGATAACCATTTTGGTTTATTTTGAAGCTGGTTTAGATATTCTTTAGTCTACCTATTCCAAAATAATTGTTGCACTCTGACCCTTTGCCACCGATCTAACCTGTTGGTGTGAATATCTGAGACATCTTTTTCCGGAAATGACGTTAAAGGAGCTCTTATCAGGAATTTTTGAGCTGTGAATGGTAGACATGCTCTAAATGAGCCTGGCCGTACCTCATTTCTAAATGTCGTACCAATTTCTGATAATTTCCCTGTTGCGATGGTGAGAGTATCTGCAGGATGTCAGTCACATCTCTTCGCAGTGCGATAGTCAAAGCGGAAGCTTTTTCAGCGATTGTCCAGCCGTTCGCTCTCGCAGCGGCTTCAAATTGGCAAAAAGAGTTGGCCCAAGCGGTTTTTCTGTCAAACTGTGGAGGCTTCATAACTGACTTTGAGGCATACTTATTTTCCACTAGTTTCGGGTCCTCCGATGATTTTTGACATTTTGGTGAATTTGCTTTTTCTTCTCTTAAAAAATTTCGATTTTCCATCTTTGGTCTGTAATTTTACCAGTCTAATATTTCTATCTTTTCCCGGAAATGTCTCCACCACTCTAGCTAAAAGCCACTCATAAACGCGTGTATTATCTTCTTTTAATAAGACTACATCGTTTACTTTGATATTAGGGGTCACAGATAATTATTTTGGTTTATTTTGAAGCTGGTTTAGATATTCTTTAGTCCACCTATTCCAAAATAATTGTTCTACTCGGGTGACCCTTTGCCACCGATTTAACCTGTTGGTGTGAATATCTGAGACATCTTTTTCCGGAAATGACGTTAAAGGAGCTCCTATCAGGAATTTTTGAGCTGGGAATGGTAGACATGCTCTAAATTAGCCTGGTCGTACCTCATTTCTAAATATCGTACCAATTGCTGATAATCTTCCTGTTCCGATGGTGATTACATCCTGCAGACACTGTCAGTCGTATCTCCTCGCAGTGCGATAGTCAAAGCGGTAGCTTTTTGAGCGATTGTTCAGCCGTTCGCTCTCGCAGCGGCTTCAAATTCGCAAAAATAGTTGGCCCAAGCGGTTTTTCTGTCAAACTGTGGAAGCTTCATAACTGACTTTGAGGCATACTTATTTTCGACTAGTTTCGGGTCCTCCGGTGATTCTTGACATTTTGGTGAATTTGCTTTTGCTATTTCTTAGGATTTTCTTGGATTAAATCCTGGTAATTTTCCATAATATTACTGATTTTATCAACGACCTCTAACCCAATAGACGCAGCATTCCTATACCGATTGTATTGGTCTGTTTTGTCTGCGCATAAACAATAACCGATGATAGGCGGGGCGAAGCGGGAGGCTCAAAATGTAAACACGGGTCAGGGGCGTGCTTACGTATTTAAATTAATTATTAAAAATTAGACAATTTAAGTCGTCAACAGTTTGGAGCACCTTACATTATACACCTTTCAATCAGTTCCTACAAGTACGCAGCGTCGCCCAAACGTATATTTACCCATCACGTGCGATAGCCCTATCTACCTAGGATCTCCCTTGGAATCCCCTCCTGCAATTAATCACCTTTGTTTTCTTAAAACTTATTTCCTTATCTACAGCTTGGGTGTACTTTTTTCGCAATTGTGCCATTTGTTCTAAAACTTCGCCATTTGGACTAACATTCGTGTTTTCCTCTCTGACGATACTAGGTCCAGGTAATTCTGGGAATGATTCTTTGGTATGCTTTTCATTCTTTGATTTATCCAATACGTCTTTACTTTTTGCTTTCTGTTTCTTGGCGACATCTCCTTCGAATTCTAAATTTATCTCAACATCTTCAGCCCAAGAACTGGTCTGTGGCTTGGTAGTATATCTCTATCTTTTGGTGTATCTTCTTTACTTTCTCCAAAGTCCTGGAATTCGTTGAGCAGTTTTTCAATATCGGTATCTATAACGTTTTTTCCTTCTGCTTCGATTTCATACAACATCGCTCCCAGGACGTCTTGCTTTCATCCGCGCCGAAACTTGAAAATACGCTTGAAATCTTGTTTATCTGAGCGTCTTTGGATCCGTCTCTTCTTTCCTCGCTTTTTCGAGAACTCGTTCTTGTAAATCCCCCTCTGCCTTTAGATGAAGTGATGCTAGTGTTTGACTCTCTTTTCTTCTTAATATGCATTTCAGTTCGACACTTTCAAGTCTTTCAACAATTTTTTCGGAGTCATTGTCAGTCTTTTTATTTTTCTAGTCTGTCACACAGGCCACACTTGACACCATATGTTAAGTTTCTCGTCGGTTCCGTGTGGATAGAAAGTCACAATTTATTTAAACATAATACACTAAGTAACAATTACAATAACGATAACAGACTTAAAGAACTACTTTACAAACTTTACTTTACAAACTATTTATCTAGAAATAATTTATTTTGAATTTAGCGCGGCAACTGTACTCGTCTATTTCTTTCTGTCCTCCTCAGGCCCCAGGCGTCGGCTTATATACCAACAGCTAAACAGTTCTCGAATGTTCCATAGATCATAGGTGCATAGAGAAGGTTTAGAATGTTCTCGTATGTACTCCTCCATTCCAGAGGAACTCGATTGTTCTCGAACGTTCGAATGAATCATTACGGTGTATATTTTTTAATGCGATATTAGGGTAATATGGGGGCGGAGATATTAGTTA